CAGGGAGCCATCACACCATTGAACAGTGTCTTGGGAGTGACCGGCTCGGGACGCACGTCCGTGGGTTTCTTCCCGAGGGGGCCAACACCCAAAGCATTTATAGCAGGAGTCCCTTCAGGAGGAGCCATGGTGTGATGATGAAAACCGGAGATAATGTCTGCGAGAGTAGACAGTGTGTAAGACTTGTGTCTGTCCCTCCACCAATGCTAAGCATCAGAAGCTCCTTCGTTGACTTGTGTCTGTCCCTCCACCAATGCTTGTATATATAGCGGCAAAAAACTTTGTGATGTTCCACGAGCAAACAGCCTTGAGATTAGAAACTCCATTCTCCCCGGTGCCTTCGCACATCCTGATGACTCCATTGTCAAAAAAAGCCTTGAGAGTGCCTGACAATAGGGTTGTACGGACAAATGTTTGTCTTTTGAACACAATAAGTGTACTAACAGATTCCTAAAGTCTCAAGTACGAATTTAGGCTTGGTTGTAATAACTCATAAGAAATTGTGGGACATTGGTGCGTGTGAAGGTCTTGGGAGTAGCCATGGCAATCTCGAGGTAGTCATTGTCATTGTTACACATGGGGCGATGTCTCTCGCGGTGTTGCCTCGATGTCATCGCATCGCACGGTCATTTTCACACATCTCACATACTATCTTTACCAATCACACATCACATTTCACATGTGATGTCCCACTCCACGTCACCATAATAATGCATTTCGTAGTTTCCTGTGTGAAGGAACGAGAATGAAGAAGAGAGGGGTTGCACTAGCAGTAGTTGGCATACATATAGGAAACCCTAATTGGGTTGTACTCGCTATAGAGTACCCCACTGCAGGCTAGACGATTATAACATTCTGACATCCTGCTTGCCACCCGTACACCCCGATCGGCATAACAACTCATCTCCCTCCTCTACCCATTCCTCGCGTTCGATGCATGGGATGGGTTCCTTCCGCGTTCCTTCTTTCTGTTTCGCCTTTTCAAGCACTGCAGGCCTCTTTGATTCCTTACAGGAATATCATCAAAGTCTAACATAGAAGTGTTTCCGTAGCTCGTTGCGCCCTTATGACAGTCCGAGCTCCGCGATATCTAATTAGGGTTGCGTATAGATAAGTCTGAGGGCACAATAACGCCGCTTACCTGACAAAAAAGGTGTAATCTAGTGCGTACCTAGAGGAAGGTGAACCAAGGATTCATGCCATCTGGTGCATGGTAGTTTGAAATGCCGCATATCTTTTCCGCAACCTGGCGTGTCATCTCCTTTCAAATGCCCACGTCAACTCTTTCCATCCTCCTGTCAACTCCTTTTCCCGTCATCCCCTAATGCTTGATGCTCCTTGATGCTCTCTTATGCTCTCTGATGCTCCTTAATGCCTTTTGATGCATTTTGATGCTCTTTGATGTTTTTTGTTATGTTATGCTCCCTTATGCCCTCTTATGGTGGAATGCTGTCACTGTGTTTTGAGATCCTTATCGCCTTATGCTCCCTGATTCCATCTTCATCTTGCCTCTTTGCCATGTCCGTCCTTCTCCCATCTCCCCCCTCCTCAGCTTGCCGTCCCCACTTCTTGCCCTTCCAGCACCAAGCTGGAGGCGACTTCTAAGGAGCCATAGAAAGCCACTCGCCCAGCATGCATCAATCTGAAGAGGTGTTGATATCCATGGAAGAGAGGATTATGGTATACATGTGCTTATCAGGCACCTAGACAATGGGAGGACGGATGAAACAACTGTGCTTGTGACAGGGCTGTTGGCCGTGTTGCCCTTCGCTGTTGCTGGGCTTGTCCTTATGCTTGTGCTGGGCTTTCCTTGCAAGGTCAGAAACCCAACCAAACAAGTGTCAAAAAAGTAGATGAACTTGGGCTTAGGAGAAACCCTAGCCTAGGTGAAAATCGAGAGGAAGGAGAGAGAGAGTAGCACAAAATGGTGGTTGCACTATAGAATTGCAAGTACAAATAGATGAGAAACATGCAAGGAGAGGTGCACCACAAGCAGGAAACAATAATGCCTACACTACAACTACAAGCAATTATAAAATATGTAAACATATTTCGACAACAAGCATTCACCAGACATTAACCAAGCCAGCCATTCTCCAAGCATTTGTCAGTAGATCTGCACTGTGGATGCCCGATTGATCCTACGGGGGGTTACAGGCGCGTTTGCCTGGGGGGTTATGGGCGCACTCTGACCCGCTACTTAACAAGCCCTTTTATCCCAATGGTCTAGTGGTTGGGATTCTGACATGGTATTAGAGCGGTCTCGGGCTCGATTCCCGGTGCATGCACATGTAGGCCGTTGCCGCTGTGCTTAGTCCTGGGTCTCCCAGTGTGGGGGGGTGTCAGTAGATCTGCACTGTGGATGCCCGATTGATCCTGGAGAGGGTTACAGGCGCGTTCGCCTGGGGGGTTATGGGCGCACTGACCCGCTACTGAAACAAGCCCTTTTATCCCAATGGTCTAGTGGTTGGGATTCTGACAGCATTCACCAACCATTCACCAGCCATTCACCAACCATTCACCAGCCATTCACCAGCCATTCACCAGCCATTCACCAGCCATTCTCCAAGCATTCATCAGCCATTCACCAGCCATTCTCCAAACGTTCGCTAGAAATTTGCCAAGCATGTTTCTCTCTACCCGCATGGCCTGTTAGGGTGGATTGCGGCTGCCACGCGGAGCTCCCCTGCATGAAATGACATGCATGACGAGACTCACAGTCCCAACACCAATACATGTGTTCGTATCTCAACATCAGCACCAACACCAGGCGTACATCGCGTTTTCAGCCCACCTTGTTGGCTCTTCACACATGTGTCCCATCCCACTGCCCCAACACCAACACAAGGTGTGCGTCATCTTTCCAGGTATGTTGTCTGCCATAATGTGGGGCTGGTGGACGGACACCCCTCTAATACAGACCAGAGCAAGGGTGGGCCGGCAATGTTTGCAAGAGAAAGAGAATCTGCCGAAGCTGAAAAGTGCAGCCAATTCCGCCCTGGTATGTCATAAATCAGATTTTTGCTATGCTATGGGTCATGCCCCCTTGATACCCTTTCTATGCCATGAATTACCCTTTCTACTATATGAGATGCCCTTTTCTATTACATGGATTTCCCTTTCTAACCCATGAATTGACCTCTCAATGCCATTGATCAACCGCTCTATGCCATGATTCCTGCCCTCTCTGTGCCATGAGTCATGCCGTGATAGCATACTTCTTTTAATCAAGTAATCAACAGTACAACTCGTGGGCTGGCACAGTTCCATAGTGCAGTGAGTGGGTGACTATTTTTTAGGTGCCTCAAGATTAGTTTCCTCGTACTCTTCTTCTATTTCCTTGCACAATTTCAAAATGCAGGAAGCTTGTAACGATGCTCCAATTTGTTTAAGGCAGCAGGCAGAAACAGCTTTGCTGATACATGCCTTGCAAGCTCGGATTAGCGCACTTGTAGGGCAGTTGCGAGAGATGAAGGAAGGATTGGAGGATGTAGAGAGGCGGAGAGTGGTAGGTGCAAGAGAGTTGAGAGGACGAGTGGAGAAGGGAGAGCAAGAGGTGATGAATGTGAGGGTTGAGTTGGTGGCAGCCAAGTGGGAGTGGATGAGGGACTTGGTAGAAGCCAAGGAAGAGTTGCAGGGACAATTGGGATCTATTAGGGTGGATTTGGAGGAAGAATTGGAAACAGTTAAGGAGGAGCTGGGGAAATTGAAAGCAGGCAAGAAGGAGTTGGAGGGGGAGTTGGTAGCAGTTAAGGGGGAATTAATAGCTATGAAAGGGGAGTTACTTACAGAGAAGGGGCAGTTGATTTGGAAGGATTGCTTGGGGAATTCAAGGATGGAAGGCGTATGTGTCCAGGCTGAGGTGGCAGCGAGTGCGCAGAGGAGCAGGGCCAGCCATCAAAGCATGAGGAGCTTGCTATTGGAGAGCAAATTAGAATGAGCGGGGATGTCAAGTTGTTGCGGCAGGTGTGCATAAATGCTGGCTGCTGAATTGAAAACCCTTCTTTTTTTCTTCCGTCCTCTCTCCCTCTCTCTCTCTCGCTGCGATCCCGCTGGGCAAGCTCTCGCATGAGCTGCTCCACAGTCTTGCGGCCACCCAAATCGGGCCGACTGGATGCGCCAGATGTACCCATGCTCTCTCCCCTCCCCTCCTTAGTCGCCAGATCCATTTTTGCGTCTCCTCCTTCTCCCCTGCTCTCCCGTACATCCCACATGGAGCCTTCCACACCGCCGCCACATTCACCCAAGGCATTCGCCCACACACCTCCTCCCACACCATCATTGGTTGCTGTAGCGGCAGAGGGTTCGTGCCGCTTCGTTGCCCCTTCATTTTTCACATGAACCGAGTGACCCCCCGTATGCTTGGGGGGCGGGTCTGTCGCTTCCCTGCCAAACCGCGCTGACCCCCAAGCCATCGGATCTCCCTTCCCAGCAGAATCCATCGGCTCGCGTAACGCAGCGTACGGGTCCGCGGCGTTTCGATCGTGAGAGCTTGATCGACATCGTAACCCCATGGACTCGTAAAAATCCAACTCCCGCCTCGCCTTGCTACGCACACCCACAATTCTAGCTTCGAATCGAGGTCTCTGGCGCTTGCCATGTGGTTTCGCACGACGCACACCCGGTTTGCAGCTCTTCACCCGTCCCCTCCCCGATTTTCGCTCTCCGTTGCCCTTCTTGGGCTTCCGCACACTCGTCTTCAAAGGCCGAGCCTTCTCCTCATCCTCGCTCTCCGGCTCCAACTCCTCGTCCTCCTCCTCTTCCTCCTCCTTCTCGTCCTCGTATACTTCCTCACTCCCGGATGAGCTGCCTTACTCGCTGTCGCTGGATTCCTCCTCCGAACCCGACGAGCTCGAAACATACTGTTTCGGGCCTTGTCAAGCTTGTCTTGCATTACGGTCGCGACCGGCCGAGTCCACAGCCTTGCGTCGTTTGCAAGGAATCACAGCTTCACGTCCGTTCTCTTTCCCATCAGTCACTGCTGCTGGCTCGTCCTCATCATGATCGTTGCCGCCACGGCATTCATGCTCGGCATGTTCCTGCTCGTCGCCACCAGTCACATCCTGCGCGTGCTTGCCCGAGGGACTGCCCTTTGCCGCCGCAGCCCTGCCGCCGTTGCGCTTTCCACCACCGCTAACTTCATGCTCGGCATGTTCCTGCTCGTCGCCACCAGTCACATCCTATGCGTGCCTGCCCGAGGGACTGCCCTTTGCCGCCGCAACCCTGCCGCCGTTGCGCTTTCCACCACCGCGGACTTCATGCTCGGCATGTTCCTGCTCGTCGCCACCAGTCACATCCTGCGCGTGCCTGCCCGAGGGACTGCCCTTTGCCGCCGCAGCCCTGCCGCCGTTGCGCTTTCCACCACCGCTAACATCATGCTTGGCATGTTCCTGCTCGTCGCCACCAGTCACATTCTGCGTGTGCCTGCCCGAGGGACTGCCCTTTGCCGCCACAGCCCTGCCGCCGTTGCGCTTTCCACCACCGCGGACTTCATGCTCGGCATGTTCCTGCTTGTCGCCACCAGTCACATCCTGCGCGTGCCTGCCCGAGGGACTGCCCTTTGCCGCCGCAGCCCTGCCGCCGTTGCGCTTTCCACCACCGCTAACTTCATGCTTGGCATGTTCCTGCTCGTCGCCACCAGTCACATCCTGCGTGTGCTTGCCCGAGGGACTGCCCTTTGCCGCCACAGCCCTGCCGCCGTTGCGCTTTCCACCACCGCGGACTTCATGCTCGGCATGTTCCTGCTCGTCGCCACCAGTCACATCCTGCGCCTGCCCGAGAGACTGCCCTTTGCCGCCGCAGCCCTGCCGCCGTTGCGCTTTCCACCACCGCGTTGGCCTACGCGCTTGCCTGCCGACCCAGATGAGAAGGCGGACATTACAGGTACATTAGATACACTGTGCAAGTTTAACTTATACTGTGCAATATGCGGCAACGTTGTAATGTGCAACGTGAATGTTAGAAACCGACGAGATCACACCTACAGCGTACCTAAGCTGACAGGTCCCCCGTCCTTGTCCTCCTCGTCGCCTTCAGACGCAGTAGTTTCCTCACGATGTGGACGAGTGCCTATTTTTCTTGAACGGTGCTTACGCCCCCCCCCCCCCCGGTTTTGACGCTTGTCCGCTGACACTGCTGTGAAAACACAATTGGAGAGACAGTATAGGCTAAAAATCAGACATGACTGCAAGCATCGTTTAATGCATCTAGCTGTGATACAACTTTATACACGTCGAATAATCAGCATCTGATACCATAATCACGTACCTTTCTGGCCGGCTATGGGAACGAGATCATCCAAGCGCTTCACACGCTTATCCCTTGGTTTCGGAGGGGATGATACGCCCTTGTTTGCGTATGGCTCAACATTGCAGTCGCTGTTCGATTCGTCACCGGATGAAGAGTCACGTCCAGACTCGACTACTTCTCGCGCCGACGACGCATAATTTTTGCGATACTCGCTTACAATCTCGGCGGTCTTATCTGCTATTACTAACTCGGCATATATTTTTTCATCGGGAGATTTAGACAAATCAGCCAATACGATCGCCCCATCGGGCCCCTTCATTGTTTGACTACCCATTACGATGTCTAGCTTTCCATTTATGCAGTATTCTGAGGTGGCGAGTCGTTATACCTTTAGGAACCTGACAGACAGGCTTTGGGCACTAAGCATTGGTTGAGCAGAAACAGGGACGAGGCAAAGGCGTGGGGCATAGAGCAGACGATTGTCACAGATGCAGGCACGCAAGGAGAGCTCGGAGGTGATGAGACTTTGAGTGTTTCCTCGTCTGGTGTACGTTGCGAGTCGCGACAGCCAGGTCCCCCCTTTCCGCCAACAACCAATCGCGTGGTGGTTGACGTGTATAACGAAAAAATTTGATGAACTGCATTGGCAAGATTCAGTGGGAGCGTGCATGCTCAATTAAGTTTGTCAATGAGCGGCAAGGTGCGTAACTTCTTTTTAACGTGGCGGTCAAATGCGCCAGTGTATCTGGGTTTGCGAGAGTCATACTGTTTACAATAACTTTTGTTTAACATGGCGGTCAAATGCGCCAGTGTATTTACTCTGCCCGCACGGTCATACTGTTTACAATGAATGCTTTGCGTGCCACACGAACCTTCACAAGCGTCACGTCAAGAGTCACATAGCCACTGCGGAGAAACGGCGACGCACGATCGCAGCAATTCGTACAGCAATGCGACAGGACCACACGAAGCCGTTGTGGAACGTCTGCGATAAAAACGCAGACTCTTGAGTTACTTGTGTGTGGTTGCGATTGGGTCGCAAGTCGGTGAGATTCGCGTACGTGACATAGCGCCGAGGTGAGTGGAATGGCGCAGGGCGGGGCACGTAAGGACACACTGCTTTGCAAAGCATCAATAGTGTGGTGTACGGACATGATAAAAATTACTATCAAAGGGTTGTGTAGTCAACAAAACCCATTTGCATACTGACAAGTATGCAACATAACAGTGTAAAACCTGACACCTCCTTGACAGAACATGCCCATAACAGTTTGATGTAGAGCAGTTACGCTGATACATCGATTGATTAGTAAGTAGGGTCTATTTAATTGCTGTCATGTTGTCGTGATGCAACTAACTGCCTCATCACAACTCGAGAGGTATCGGTATGTCATTTGAGGTGCAAAATCACTAGAGCCAGACACGAAGTCCCGTTCTAGGGCTTGTTTGCTCTCATGTCATACACAGGGCAGCCGGTATGCAGTGATAAAAATTACTAGCAAAGGGTTGTGGAGTCTACAAAACCCATTTGCATACTGACAGTATGCAACATAACAGTGTAAAACCTGACACCCCCTTGACAGAACATGCCCATAACAGTTTGATGTAGAGCAGTTACGCTGATACATCGATTGATTAGTAAGTAGGGTCTATTTAATTGCTGTCATGTTGTCGTGATGCAACTAACTGCCTCATCACAACTCGAGAGGTATCGGTATGTCATTTGAGGTGCAAAATCACTAGAGCCAGACACGAAGTCCCGTTCTAGGGCTTGTTTGCTCTCATGTCATACACAGGGCAGCCGGTATGCAGTGATAAAAATTACTAGCAAAGGGTTGTGGAGTCTACAAAACCCATTTGCATACTGACAGTATGCAACATAACAGTGTAAAACCTGACACCTCCTTGACAGAACATGCCCATAACAGTTTGATGTAGAGCACTCAGGCTGATACATCGATTGATTAGTAAGTAGGGTCTATTTAATTGCTGTCATGTTGTCGTGATGCAACTAACTGCCTCATCACAACTCGAGAGGTATCGGTATGTCATTTGAGGTGCAAAATCACTAGAGCCAGACACAAACTCCCGTTCTAGGGCTTGTTTGCTCTCATGTCATACACAGGGCAGCCGGTATGCAGTGATAAAAATTACTAGCAAAGGTTTGTGGAGTCTACAAAACCCATTTGCATACTGACAGTATGCAACATAACAGTGTAAAATCTGACACCTCCTTGACAGAACATGCCCATAACAGTTTGATGTAGAGCACTCACGCTGATACATCGATTGATTAGTAAGTAGGGTCTATTTAATTGCTGTCATGTTGTCGTGATGCAACTAACTGCCTCATCACAGCTCGAGAGCTATCGGTATGTCAATTGAGGTGCAAAATCGCTAGAGCCAGACACGAACTCCCCTTCTGGGGCTTGTCTGCTCTCATGTCATACAAGGCAGCCGGTATGCAGTGACCTAAGAGCTTGCTGTGTTGTATGTGCTTGTTTCATGCTGGAAAGGAGGTGAGAAACACATGCTGTTCGGTCACAAGAGTTGTAGTGACTAGGAAGACCGTTTTGCAGCATCACCCTGACGCATCGTGTGTTGTTTGTAGACATGTCAATCTGGACCGGCAGTGACAAACACATCCCTATGGGTAGTGTTCTCTAGTCATGCAGGACTGGAAGTGACGAACACTCCCCTATTGGCCACACTTGTTGTCTCCTCATGCAGGACTGATTCGAAGCCTCTCCCTTGCTTTTTGTGTCATGCTTGTAGGCATGTCAAGCTGGCAGGACGGAGGGACAGACAGTTCCCTATTGCTCTTGTTGTCATCCCCCCATGCTACTCGCCTCGTTGTTATTCGCTCACCAACTTGTTCCTCCCACTTACCCACCTCATTCCCTCCTGCTTCCCGCCTCATTCCCTCCTGCTTCCCACCTCATTCCCTATTGCTTCCCGCCCCACACCCCATAGCTACCCGCCGCTTCCCCCTTCGCACACCGCCTCGTTCCCCCCACAGACCTGCCAAATCCCCTTCAGCTTCCCGCCTCATCCGCCCTCGTTCACTGCCTCCTCCCCCCTTGCTACCCGCCTCATCCACCCTTGCTCGCCGCCTCATTCCCCCTTGCTACCCCCTCATTCCCCCTTGCTTCCCGCCTAATTCCCCCTCACGTCCAGCCCCATTCTCCCTTGCACCCCGCCTCATTACCCCTTGCTACCCGCCTCATTCCCCCTTGCTACCCACCTCATTCCCCCTTGCTACCCGCCTCATTCCCCCTTGCTACCTGCCTCATTCCCCCTCGCTTCCCGCCTCATTCCCCCTTGCTACCCGCCTCATTCCCTCCTGCTTCCCGCCTCATTCCCTACTGCTTCCCGCCCCATTCCCCATAGCTACCCGCCGCTTCCCCCCTCACACACCGCCTCGTACCCCCCATACACCTGCCAAATCCCCTTCAGCTTCCCGCCTCATCCGCCCTCGTTCACCACCTCCTCCCCCCTTGCTACCCGCCTCATCCCCCCTTGCTCGCCGCCTCATTCCCCCTTGCTACCCGCCTCATTCCCCCTTGCTTCCCGCCTAGTTCCCCCTCGCTCCCAGCCTCATTCCCCCTTGCTACCTACCTCATCCCCCCTTGCTCGCCGCCTCATTCCCCCTTGCTACCCGCCTCATCTCCCCTAGCTTCCCGCCTAATTCCCCCTTGCTATCCGCCTCATTCCCCCTTGCCACCCGCCTCATTCCGCCTTGCACCCTGCCTCATTCCCCCTCTCTACCCGCCTCATTCCCCCTCGATACCCACCTCATTCCCCCTTGCTACCCACCCCATTCGCCCTTGCTACCCGCCTCATCCCCATTCGCTCACCTGCTCATTCTCCCATTCGCCTCAAACCCACCATTTCAACCCTCCTCAATCCCCTTTGCACCGCCCCTCACCCACCCCTGTGGTTCCCGCATTATGCGAATGTCCCCGGCCCATTACCAGCTTTTCACCGCCTCATGCACCACCTCCAACCTCCACCATCGTCTTTGCTAAAAAATACACAGACCACTTCCTCAAATCGCGACGGTACTGACGGCACCAATCGAGTGGCGTCCCCACAAGCTCACACGCCGGTAGTTTGTGGAAACCATCCTCGACCAACGTGTGCATCACACGCATCGTAAAAACACCACAGTCGTTCTCATTGGCCTGCATTGGAATCTGGAAAGACATAGGGTCAATGATGGCGTGGTAAGGCCCCGTACGGGATTGCGATTTCGGTATGGAAAAAGCGACGCTAAAAAGAGAGATGCGATTGTTTCGGAGCTCGTACAAACAAGGCAATAGCGCACACCTTGATCTGCCGTAGCGGGATGCTCGCAGCCCATGCATCTGCGTCCGAATCAATGATCCATGCACAGCATCTTATCACCTCGTTTCGTAAGTACCTGCACATCGGGAGTCATTGTTTCAATAATCTCGTCACCCCGACCTTCTGTACGAGACAATAGTAGACTGCCATTTAAGAGAGAGTACCTGCGCAACGGGGCGTCGACACCGGCATGGGTACCGTACGAGTCAGCGTGCCAGAGCACGCAGTTCATGGGAATCGGGTCATCGGGTCTCGGGATGATCTCGATCACGATCAGGCTCCAGTGACTCCTAAGGCATACATGAGATCTACCATCAGTAACTCCAACTTTATACTACTGAATCACATATGGTGCAACTGCTAGATGCAACGAGTACTCACTCGGTGTTTATCGGAACGAGTAG